GGTTATACTAAGTTCATACTGGTAGCATTTATTTCTTCATTCATATAATGATTTGGCAAATAATTTTGAATACTTGAAATATCTAATTTAGTTAGTTGTGTACTGATCAAGATTACTCTCTAGAAAGTACATATACATTAGACTAAGAAATTTAAAAGTGGTTTTCCATAAAGAAATGCTTGTAGTGCAGAGTAGAAAGGTTCTTAAAACTTTGGAGATGAGCTGATTTTTGAACTTGACGTTAAAATATACTCAGGGTTTGGATATAAAAGTATTGTAAAAAAGGAAAACACATATGTAAAATAAAATGATCCTATTTCATTTCTGCTTTAATCTCTGTTGGTAGAAAGATCTGAGAATATTTAACCTCTCCCATCCTCAATAAACTTGTGCAAAACAGTCATTCCTACAGGGCTGCCTCAAAGGGGAATTATAAAGCTCAATAAGTGCAAATACTGTGCAAGCCACAAATCACTGAGCAAAGTGAGATTTTTTAAACTGCTTTGTAAAACTTCAGACAGCAGATGCTCAGAAAAGGAATGCTAAAAGAACAGCATAGACAAAGACACATGTGCAAGTGGGAGAAACATTGGCACAGAATAGCAATTAATTGGGTTTGGCTGAACAATACAGCATGTGAAGAACAGGTATAGGCAATGAGGTTTATTTGGAATCTTCAATGGCATGCCAGAGAGATTAGGCTTAATTTGGTAGGCAGATATCATTGGGAAGTTTTTGAATCTATAGTTCAGGAAGATTAATTGTTGCAGCACCCTTCAGGGTGGATGTGAAGAGATGCTTTTTAGTTAAGTGCTATTGCAAGTGAAGAGATAATAAAGGCCTGGAATGCATGAATGGATGTGGGAATAAAAGGGCAGATGGGAGGGATAGTTTAGAGTAGACTCAATGGAGCTCACAAAAGTTTGCAAGGAAAGGAAAGAATCAAACATTGCTAGGACATTTGCATAGAGGTGACATGGCTAAGGAAGGTGTCATCCACAAAAATTGGACACATTGTACAAAATAGGTTTGAGAAAGACAAAGTGGTTCATGTTTCTAGCAGAGGTGATGTCCAACTAGTGATGTCTAACAAGCAAGTGCAGAGTGAGACCTGGAGTTTTGGTCAGAGCTATCTATACATTTCAATGTAAAACATTCCCCGTTAACAAAATCATGATGAATCTCAGCTGGGTAGAAGAAATGTGAATCAATAACAGAATGTTAGGGAATCATTTAGGGGTGGTGGGAAGTTGTAGGAAGAAGTCAATAGAGTAGTCATGAAGAATAAGAGAGAGCAGCAGTTGTCATAAGCATGACTTAAGTGAATTATTCACAATAAATTAAAAATATTGGAGGTTAATAGGAAATAATACTTTACAAGTTGAGGTTGTGTATTTGACATTAAGGCCTGTAGTTAAATCAATATCTTTCCAGAAGGAAGCCAGTAATCAAAACAGTTGCTTTCATTCATGAGCTAACTGTCAGTACGTAATCAGATTCCATCCATAGTTTTCCCATATTATCTATTAGGCAGTGATTGATACTGAGCTAACTCTTAAGAAAGTAAGATAAAATAAAAATATTCCATCCCAGTGAGCATGGCTCAGAGGCCAGGAGGTCACGGTTCAATTCCTGGTCAGGGCATATGCCTGGCCTGTAGGTTCCTTCCCCAGTGTGGCATGCAAGAAGCAGCCAAGCAATGATTCTTTCTCATCATTGACGTTCCTATCTCTCTTCCTCTCCATTAATTTTTTTTTCATTTAAAAAATAAAAAATACTTCTAATTCACAAATGTCACCATGGGTGTTAAGATCTGACTATTTCTAAGTGCATCTGAGACCTACGAGAGGAGTATGCTTCCTAATTTGTGCTCACCATCCTCCAAACAGAAAAATTGTTCTTTGATTTGGTATTAAAGCTTGCTGTCTGTCTGCCTGGCCTAACACCATTGGTGACCAGGTATTTTCAACTACTGATGAGTGTGTTGAAAAAGAGGTTCCCTGTTGAGTACTTCACTGTCCCTGTCCGAAATGATTCTTTACTCCTCCTTTGCCAGGCACTACCCCCTTCCACCAATAGTACAAAGGTGGGAACACAAATTTAATAGTCAGTGATCTATCTTCCACACTAATTTACATGAGCAAACAATCAAAAAGATCACAAAACTGATGAGAGAGAAAGGTGCTAGAAAGTGAGATCATTTTAGACTTTTGGTTGTAGTCATGAATGTGGAAACTTTAAGTTAACTTAAAAATCATCCTCTGCGGACTCATGTTGAAAACCATGGTATTTCTGAAAGAGTGAGATTACGGAGCAAGCCCCAAACAGATAAGTTACAAGCTGTTCATGCTTTTGACTTGAGATTTATGTGAAGGAGAAATCGTGCTGTCAATTAGTTAAATACTTTTGGAAAGATAAATTAGTTAAAATGCTTTTGTTAGTAACCTTTTTTAATTTACAAGACTATGAAAATGTATTCTCCTACAAAGCTGTACGTTTGAACATGCATGTGAGTGCTTGGTTGGGTTGAGAGAGGGGCTGCCCTGTATGGGACTGTACCCATATGGGCATCCATTACTCTGGGCTCCCAGTGAGAGAGTTGTTCCAAATAGAGTCTAACAAAAAAAATGCAATAGGACTTCAGGACTTGAGAGAGTATAAGCATATCCTGCCTCTTCTGTGTGTTTTCAAAAGTCGGTTCCGATTTTCATGGCATCCTATGACAGTGGTACAACTTTAAGAATATCTCTAGATATTTCATATGTAAGGTCAGATTATAGAATTTAGGGACAGCTAAAAAGGAAGAAAAATTATTTTAGTAAATGTGAGTGGAGGCAACATGAATGGACTAGATAAAAATAACCAATTTAGGCCGAAACCAGTTTGGCTCAGTGGTAGAGCGTCGGTCTGCGGACTGAAAGGTCCCGGGTTCGATTCCGGTCAAGGGCATGTACCTTGGTTGTGGGCACATCCCCAATAGGGGGTGAGCAAGAGGCAGCTGGTCGATGTTTTTCTCTCATCGATGTTTCTAGCTCTCTATCTCTTTCCCTTCCTCTCTGTAAAAAAATCAATAAAATATATATTTTTAAAATAAAATAAAAAATAAAAATAAAAAAATAACCAACTTAGGTAGATAACATTTGACAAGGTGCTTTTTATTATTTTTCGTTAACTATAACTCTCTCTGTGGGAAACATAAAATGTTGAATCAGCTGCTTAATACTGTAGGAAATATCAAAGGCTGGAATTGAGAGATGTTGATTTTAACTCCAACTCTATGGCTTGGGAAAGTAATTTAACTTATCTGGGCTTTATTCTTTTTTACCTATCTATCTATATTTTTAACTCTATAAACATTCAACAAGCCAGTGCTATGGCCTCCTCCTAATAATGCTTTTCTATAGATGAAAAAATGTCACTAAGGATCTCTGATACTCTAATTGTATCATTAACTAGTAATAACTACTTAATGAGGGACTTCATAAAAAAAGACAACTATGAGCTACTTTTGAAGGATTGGAGGAATATAGTTTAAATTATAGGGCAGGAGGAGGGTTGTTGATTTGGACCAGAAAATCAGCAGGTGCAAAACCACAGGCCATCCTAAATCTTCACCAACAAGAGCCAGATTCTAGAATATCTAGAACTGAGTCTGTAGATGAAGCAGAATAAGAGCTGGAAAGGTCTGAAGGGGGGATAATGACTAAGAAGGGACCTCATGGTGAAGATGGTAAATCTACCACAGGCAGGCACTTCTGTCACAACTTCAGTTTCAGATGGAAATAACTAAGTTGGTAAAATGACTGGAGAGCATTGGTATAAAAAAATAAATAAATAAATAAATAAAATAAAAATAAAAAATTTATTTTATTACCAAAAGGAAAAAAATATATATGTGACTAAGTTATTTAATGCACCTTTACAGTATTTCCATGTCATGATAAAATTTGCAGACAGGTAATTACTAGACATTCTGACACCATGTAGAATTTTTTTTAATAAAATCGTGAAAGATAACATTGTTCATTTTATTTGTTAGTTCCCAAATATAACTTTAACATCACTTTATTGCTTTTCTTTCTTCCCATTTTTTTCTTTTATTCTCTCTCGTTGTATAAAGCAAGAACTGCATAAAATCTCCGAGGTGCCTCAGAATGATAAATCTGAGCTGCTTCTATAAGCACCATGAAATATTCCCCATTATTCCCCATAAGTTTGAAAATGCCAGAGAAATGTTCAATGAAAATCCACTATACTCCTCTTATACAACACATTTGATCTCATATGTTAAGAGCTTCATCCTCCAATGCTTTTAATTCTAAACCTTGCAGAGACAAAATTCATTGCTTGAATTACAAGAGTGAGTCTCATTAAGGCTAAAAAGCAGTGACCCAGATAGCTTAATGGATTAATATGGTGACCTTGCAACTTTAGAGAATCACTTTCAAATCTGACTGTGTCGTCAAATCATTTCAATGGTCAGTTAATCAATTGGTTAATACCAACCTCTGAGCATTCTTAGTCTGGAAGTTAGTAGATCATTTTAACCAACACTAGCTATATAGAATTAAACTGAGAACAACAGCATGCTTAACTCCCAGACCTTTCTTAAATAATCACAATTTTAAAAAAGGATTTCATGAACTGCTGTGAATGCTGTAATCACTTAATAATTATATAATGCTGACACTCTAATAAGCATCAATATTTTGAAACTTATACCATAAATATTTTAATGATGTTTACATTTCATTAGCAAATAAGGAGTATACATATAATTAATAGGCTCTTTGGTAATGAACTGTGATGTTGATTGAATTCTCAGATTCTATGATATCAGCACCTTTAGGGTGATACATACTGTTAGAGGGATGGAGGAGGGAATGGGAATGTGTATAGTTCAGCAGGACATCTTACAGAATTTTTAGTCTAAGGAATATTTTTTAAAATTTATTCAAAAACATGTTTGAGAAAATTATTCCTATCCATTTTTTTTGTAGATGCAAGATATACGGAACCCAGAAGGAGCTCAGTATAGCTCCCATCCTCAGATGGCAGCCATGAGGCCCAGGGGCCAGCCTGCAGACATCCGGCAGCAGCCGGGAATGATGCAGCATGGCCAGCTGACCACCATCAACCAGTCCCAGCTGAGCGCTCAGCTTGGGTTGAATATGGGTGGAAGCACTGTCCCACACAACTCACCATCTCCACCTGGAAGCAAGTCTGCAACTCCTTCCCCATCCAGTTCAGTCCATGAAGATGAAGGCGATGAGTCGTCTAAGGTACGATGACATTATTTACAGGACCTGTAGGAAATGCTTGTTGCCTACAGAGGTTTTCTTTGGAGCCTTCCTTTATCTGTGGTGGGTGCTAGTTTGTGTCATCCAGTTTAAGAAATGTCAATGGGGGACCTATTTTTTTATGAAGCATGAGGTTATAACCTGGGTGAATTGAATCACCTTGTCCAACTACATTTTTGAGCCCCTAATAAATCCTTTGAATATTCATGTATTAAGCATAAAAATAAGTTGCATCTACAAAATACAGGGTCTTCACAGTGAGTAAGCTGAATTTGCCACTCAAAGTCAATTTCAATTTAATCATTTTAAGAAGACAACAAAGATGGTGCTGTGTGTGTGTGTGTGTGTGTGTGTGTGTGTGTGTGTGTGTGTGTGATTAATAGATAAAACTGTTGAGATCATCTGACCCAATCATTTCATATTGAGGATGAGGAACGTAAGGGGCAAGGATATTACTGACCCCCTTCCAAAGGAAAAGCTAGGTGATTCACTGCTTACTTATTATTAGTCCCATGCCACTATGCTTGTTTGACTATCTGCCTGTCTGTCTTTGTCACATTATCTATATGGGAAGATGTGTCTTTAAATGTCCTTAGATTACAGAATTCTTTAAAGTATTCAAGGTAGCTTTTTCAAATGACTTCACCGAAAGCAAGTGCAACCTCATTCAAAAACCAAAATTATCTCTTTGTTGCCTTGCTTCTCAGGCAAGCATCTTTAGGATTTGTCCAAGTGAGAAGGATTCTTATGCTTAATTATTATGAAAAACACTCGCATTTACATGTGAACTATTTCCTTCTCTTTTTTAAATATTACTAATGAGTTGTCACTTGTGTCAGCCCTTAGATTTCTTTTCACTTTTGCAAGAACTTTTCTTTTGGAAAATTAAACTTATCAACTTGTTACCAAAGGCAGCACTATGGGATTCTGACCTACTGCATAATGGCTAATATAAACTAATTTATTTAAAGATCCAGATAAATAGATTTAGCCTGATAACAAATACAAGGCTGCTATATTGACTATATTTTATTATTTTGGGTAATACTAATGCTCTGGCATTTTTGGAACCTTAATTTTGAAAAGACTTTCCCTCACAGGACAATTTAATTCCTGGAGGTGGTGAATGATGCCCCAGTGAGTCCATCTTTGATAAACAAACCAAGCAATCCAGAGCCCCATCCCAACTTTCTTCTTTATCAAATTCTCACATAATGTTCTTAAGAAAATGTGTATCAATCTAATGGTTCTCAATAGCCAGTGAATATTTGGACCTACTAGTTAATGTGCACATTAAGAATTTGGGACCAGTTACTTAAATGCTAGATTATGCATGAATAATTCAAGTTAAATTCTTAAACATAGGTGATATATACTATACGTCAAGGGAAAAATACAGTATATTCTACTCACCCTGGCTGAGTGGCTCAGTTGGTTAGAGCAATGGTCAGCAAACTCATTAGTCAAAAAGCCAAACATCAACAGTACAATGATTGAAATTTCTTTTGAGAGCCAAATTTTTTAAACTTAAACTTCTTCTAACAACACTTCTTCAAAATAGACTCGCCCAGGCTGTGGTATTTTGTGGAAGAGCCACACTCAAGGGGCCAAAGAGCCACATGTGGCTTGTGAGCCGCAGTTTGCCGACCATGGGGTTAGAGTACCATCCTGTATACCAAAAGACCAGGGCACATACAGAAGGCATCACATTGATATTTCTTCTCACATTGATACTTCTCTCTCTCTCTCTCTCTCTCTCTCTCTCATCTCTCTCCTCTCTCTCTCTCTCTCATCTCTCTCTCTCTCTCTCTCTCTCTCTCTCTCTCTCTCACTCTCTCTCTAAAACCAATTAAAAAATCCTTTGGTAAAGATTATTTATACATCTGGGCTATATATTTTTAAGTATTTGTTGCAACAATTTCAGATGTAAAATTAGTAGCATTTTTTTATAGTAAAGTTTATGCAGGGTTATTCTTACTTACATAACACTTTCCACACTCTTCAACCTAAATTAATAGAAGTATGAGTAGAAACCTGAAATTACATTCACAGATTCTGCCATTTTCTATTGGCCCATAAGGTCCATATATTATCATTTTGCTGAGACATGAATTTGTATGTTATGAGCTTCCAAGCTGGTGTGAGAGTTTGCTAGTGAGTAGCCTATCCAACCACTCAACATCAACCTCTCAAAATGAATTGTAACTCACTGTGAATGATTGAGTAGTATTTTGTGGTAGGCCCTGTATTCTATAGTGGTATATTCTTGAATTAGTGATGTGTGAAGGCTTAGGGATATATTTTTTTCAAGAAAGCCCTAGTCAAAAATGGCTTTTTGTCTATAGAAATATTTCCAAGCTCATATTTAGTGTAGGTGTATTTTCCACCTCAAGAATACCCACCATCCCATTCCAAGGTTACATAATGTTCTTCACCTTTATTCTGATGCAAAATCCTGCTTACCATTTAATCAACTTATATTTATTAAATGGCTAAAAACAGTCCTCTGGCAAAAATGCTCAAGCATTCTTCATCACAGTTAAAGATTAAACTGGGATTTTTCCCTGTATATGTGAGCAGGATTTATGTGGAGTGTTGTATTGAAATAGCTCCATTTAAATGTGAAATAGCATTAAGTCAAAATGATCATCTAAATCATTTCTAACAAGAGAATTAAAAAAGAATATTTACTTTCACTGCAGCAAACGAAGCCTTTAAAGCTTCCCTCTTAACACTTTATGCTCTCTTAAGCAATTACATATTAATTCCCGTTTATCTAATTGAACAATGAAATGAAATAAGTTTGTTTTGACAGAAAAATACTGTAAATATATCAGTAAAATAAATTATTGCCTTATAAATACTACCCACAGTTCTGATTGCTATGGAGCTGTGTTGACAGCCTCAAGTCATAAACTAGACATACAGTAAAACATCAAAGACATATAAACTTGGGTAGCTTGTGGTTCTAAGCCTGTAATCCAGCACTTGTGATACAGTAGACACTTTAAGACACAAAATCTCTGGCATTACAAGTATATTTATAGCGCAGTATTTTCTTTAAGTAAATTATGGGCTAAGAATCACAATCTATATTTTTCCATCCTTTTACTTTCAACTTTTCTGCTTAAAATATCCTTAAGTTTTGTGTGTGTCTCTTGTAAATGGCATATGGTTAGATAATCTACTCTTAAATGAAACTGACTTTATTTACATTAACTTTCAGTACTAAATATTTGGGCTTATTTCTCCATTTAAGTATGTTTACATATTTAGCCCACATATGTTTCTTTTTTTCCTTACCTTCTTCAAGTTTGTTTTTACTTTTCTCATTCCATAATAATATTGGAAATTGCTCATTTCCATTTTAATATTGAAATTTTATACTTTTTTTGTTCACCTAGTAGCTACCCCTGTAACATAAATGCATAAAAGTCTAACATTGATTGATATCTTTACCTTTCTTATTTACTTTCATTCCAAATAATGATGAAGCAGTTATTGCTGTTGTTTAGTTTAATGATAATTTTAATTAATTTCTATAATTTAATATACTTCACAAAACATTATTATTTTTAGTCCTTTTTTTCTTTAGATTTATTCACATACTTAATATTTTTTCATCTGGCATCATTTTCTCTATCCCTTTAAAATTTAATTGCATGAGAGTCTGTTGGGAATATATCTTAAAAAGTACTTTCACCAGATATAGAACTTTAGATTGATAGTGATTCTCTTTATGAAGGTATTATGTTACTTCATTGAATCCTGATTTTCATTATTGCTTTTGAAAATTCTACTGCATCAATGCCTTTCCTTTGAAAGTAATCTGTCTTTCCTCTCTGACTATTAATAGTTTTAAGATCTTCTCTTGCCTTTGTTGTTCTTCGGTTTTACTGTGATATGTGTGGGTTTCTTTAAATTTATCCTGAATTTAAATATTTCTCTTTTCTATCAATTCTAAGAAATTTTCAGGCATTATTGTTTTTCATATATTTCCTCTTGTGGTTTTGCTTCATTCTCATCCTGTAATTCTGATAAGATATATGCTAGACTTTCTCAACTATTCTCTATGACTTGTTTCTTTTACATTTTGCATTTCTTTGCCCCTCTATTTATTCTAATTTAAGTAAAATTTAAATCAATTCCCCATATATAATTTTTTTTCAGCAATACCTAATCTAAAACTAAAGCTGATCTATTGAAATTTTCATTTCAATTATTTTATATTTCTGATTTTATTTGGCTTCTTTCTCAAATATGTTTTGACTTTTTTACTTGCTTGCTTTTTATCCATATACTTAATCTCTTTTGTCCTTTAAGCATGTTCTAATTCCTATATATGAAGTCTTTTGGGGTCTGATTCTACTCTCTGTTATTGCTGTTGGCTCTTGGTTTTAATGCCTTGTTCTATATTGCTTTTTTGCTGTTGTAATGAGAGCTGATATTAATTATGACTTGATGAGACTTCCATTAGACTTTATTTGAAAGTGAATTCCTCTAAAGATTATTTCTGTTTGTTTCTGCCAAGCATCTTAAACCATTGTAATGTAGAATGACACTTGCCTTAAAGTTCTGCAAATCACCTTATTTGGATAAATTATTATAAATGCCGGCATTCAGGATATAAGTTGTTACAAATGCTGGCTTCTGTTTGTGGATTATCACAAGAGATATTTCCTCTCTCCGTTCAGTATCATCTGCAGCTCCTGGGTGGCACATACAAGAGTAAAAAAAGTTTCCCCCTTACATTGACACTATAATTCCCTTTTGTCCCTACTTTAATAGCAAACCTTCTGCTAAACATCCAACTTTTGGTAAACAATGAGTTTTGTTTTCTATCTACTGTGCCTTTGACTCATTTTCACCAGGCTTAGCAACTATCTTCAAGATGAAAGCTGGCTTTGGTATTTTGCTTATTTCCCTGGGTTCCTGCTTTCATTCACTATTTGCATTTAAGAGTGTCTTATTAATTTGCTAGT